ATCAAAACAGATAAATCCCACACAATTTTAGCAGAGTGGAAGTAATAATCAAGACAAAAAAAACCCAACACCACAAAGGCCGAATCGAACGGCTGCGAGTCCAACTCGCCTACGGGTTTGAAGCCCGCACCCAGCACCAGCTGAGCTCATCGTGGCACACTCCCGCATTGTCCGACACTGCATATAGATTCACATTTTTTAAATGTCCCTCCTACTTTTCGTATGCACGCTAAGCCGTAAAAAAGAAACAAGGACCAAGAAGTACTGTTGTCAGCATCTAGCTATAATATACACAGGAATAACAATGGTGGTGTTGTGGACCCGCTCCTGTTGGTTTGCATCTTACTTTCCCCCATCCCTCTCTGTCAGTGCTCAGGTGCACGTTATTCTGTGTAAATCAATAATCGTTTAAAGAATAACCGAACAAACAAAACAAGCAAGCNAAAAAGAAAAGTCTCACCCCTCTTACTAGAGAAAGATCACGGAACGAGGATGAAAGCTCCTCGCCCCACCCTCAAGTAGGCTGCACGGCGTCAAGGCCGCAGTGCCTTCTGTAGTAAAAATTGCACTTGAAATCCACTTTTCGACATGCATCGAAAGCGTGCCGGCGCCCTCAATCGTGCCCGAGAGTAAACTCATGCACTCTTCCACAGAAGGCACCGACTTCACGCACATCCAATGCACCACATGACCTTGCAGCAACCCCAGGTGTGTCTCTTCTTGGCGCTGCTCCTCTTGCAACTCCAGCTCAGCATCGTCAAGGGCGTCCAATGCCTCTTCCAAGCACTTGCTTAGCACGGCGCTTCGGTGCCGCACGTTCATTGGCTTGTCACCTTCCACGCCGTTGGCGGCAGGCGCCGCCGTCCTGCGCAATGAATTTCGCAGAGCATCATCCAAGTTCGCGCGCCATTCCCGAAAGACGCCAGAGATCTCACCTGTGATTCGGATGCCACAATGAGGTGCATCTTCCCGCCGCAGCATCATTGCCGTTGCCACATACTCCAGAAAGAAGGATCGTTGTGTGCTGCCGTCTGCGCCGGCCGATGCCTCGCTGAGGTGCCAACTCACCCATGGCAGCACGTGGAGTGCGGCTTCGGCAGGCATCGCGACACGGTAGCGCAGCCACGCCTCTGTCGCCGACAACAGTTTCTCCATCACACACCGCGCCATTTCTTCTTCGTCCACTACTTCCGCCTCGTCGGCGTCGTCGCTCTGCAGGAACACCATTTTAGCTCCGGCATTTGCGTGCAAGCGAATCTGGACATGGACGCAGGAGTTTGTGTCAAGACCGCGCGCCTCAAGCTCTCGAAGGAGAGGCCCGTCGTGGCGTTTCTCGGGGGTGATTTCAGTATCCTGTAACGGCACAAACACACGCTCAATAAACTGCAACCCCGTTGCCGTGTACAAGGTCACGCGTGGACCATCTTCGGTGTCCGTGGCAGTTGTTGCCTTGGGCGCGGTCATCCGCCGCAGCATTGTGAGAAGAGAGCAGAGGAGCGAAGAGGGCGGCAGCCATTTCGTGTGGTCCGGTTCGCCTTTGGTGAGATCGACATACCACCAATGAATGACATTGTGAGGAACATAGCCATTGTTCTCCGCAGGCATTACAAGAGGTGTCATGGTGCGCCGCATGACTGCAATTTCCTCCTCGTCCTCTTCCTCTTCCTCATCACTGTCGCAAACACACACGTCTAGTAGCGCGTTCTCCTTCCCTTCCATGATTCGCTGCACCGTTGCCTCTACTGCCTTCTCCCACCATGGCATGCGCATTGCAAACAGTGGCGACTCCAGAAGCACCTTTTCAGCTGTCGGTCGATCGCCAGGGTTGGGTGCCATCATTGCGTCGAGAAGGTGCAAAAACTCGAGGGACAACTCCCGTGCCCGAAGGTTTCGGGCCATCAGCTGCGTGCCTGGTGTGAATGCCCACGCGGGCCACTGACCCGCGTCTGTTTCGTGTGTCTCCACCTTGTTATCGGCGATGGTGGTGTAACGCGTGTAGTCCGCTTCCCCAGAGCTGGTCTGTCCGGCGCGCCGCGAGACCAGACTTTGCAAGGAGAGGTATAAGCTCTTGTCATCCATAAGAGGGATCTTTAACAGCATCGAGAGCGGTGGGTAGTCACCACGTGCCACACGTAGTTGGGCTGCTGCTGCATCGTCAGCTGAGAGTGCGGCTATGCTGTTCAAGAAAACAGCGCCCATGCCCTCGTCCACTCTCGCTGCGCCGCAGGTGAGCTGCACGTAGAAGATAGCCGCTGTGCTCCACATATCGGAGGCGTATGAATACGGGCAACGACTGCGGTAACCCCAGTACTGCGCAATCTCGGGTGGGCAGTAGGCCCCAGAGCCCATCACCGTACGTTCTGTCTCGCAGTTCACGTTAGGCACCACTGCCGCAATGCCAAAGTCGGCAAAGAATAACTCCACGTCGCTATCCCACGCGGAAGCACCACGTCGTCGCACGAGGACGTTCGAGGGTTTGATATCTCGGTGCAGCACGCCACCCTTGTGCATGCAGGCGAGCCCTCTCAGCATTTGTCCCAGCCAACACACAAGGTGCTCCTCCGAAATATACGCATTGTGGCGGTGAAGAAATTCCCCCAGTGTACCACCCGCACCCAGCTCCATCACCAAATGGGCAGAAGCTGCAGTGGAAGCTGGAGAGGGGCCCAGCGGGGCCAGATTAGCGGCGCACGGAGCTAAAATGACACCGTAGTAGCGCGCAATGTGAGGATGGGGTGGGAGCGATAAAGTCAATCGCGCCTCACGGACAAATTCGCACAGGGCTGGATACTGCCACGCGGCCTCGCACACCTCACCGCGGAGGATTCACCGCAAAGTATCCATGACTTGCTGCTGCTGATACGCTTCCCCATCCGCCGCCTGCGGGGCCGAAGAGGTAGGGAGAAAGAGCTGCGTCAGGCTTTTTGCAGCAAAGAATCGCGTCGGGTAAAGGCGACTTTGCGCCAGCATCACAGCACCAAATCCGCCGTCCCCCAGTGAGAGAAGGAAGTCAAATGGAGATGTTGCAACGTCACTGGGTTCAGTATTCGCATTATTAGCTGCAACACTCCGACGTCCACCACTCCGGTGCGCACGGTGGCCGGCAGCAGTACGCATCACCTTTCCCGCATCACAGGTTAGCTGCAGCAGCAAACAGTCCACGGGGTCACCAAGCGGCCTGGGTGCCTCACTGAGATTAATGAGCGCAGAATCGGAATCCCCCTTCGAAAGAAGAAGGCGACTGGTAAGTGCATCACACCAAGACAGTGACGCTCCCTCCGGTATATGAGAAGAATCGAACAGCATCCGCGCGAAGAGTGCTCTGTAGCCCTAGTACCACGAATCCGAATATAAAACAAAACAAAGGATTAAAGCAGGAGCGGACTGCAAAAAGTCTGATAAAAGCTCAAGAAGAAGCCACCGAAAAAAACAGAAAAAAAGACCCACACACCGTTTTTACGATCTACATCAATACACCACAAAGGCCGAATCGAACGGCTGCGAGTCCAACTCGCCTACGGGTTTGAAGCCCGCACCCAGCACCAGCTGAGCTCATCGT